AACTCACTAACCAGTTTTCCTATACTCAATTTGGACTTATGACCCCTCCATGTGTTTCAGAGTAGAACTGTGTTCCATAGGATTTTCAATGCCTGCGATCTTGCAGAAGTAGATTGCTAGGCCTTTCTTCCAAGGCACTTCTGGGCGGATCTGAATTTTAAGAAAAAGAAATAATTCATTGGAACCCAGCAAGCTTGAGGGAGCCAAGGGCTTAAGTAATTGGCAGGCACTTAAGGAGAGCGTTCTGAGCTGCCTCGGGAGTAGCTAGAATAGCAGGCCAAGCCGCACTTCGGAACTGGCTCAATTTAGCAGCTTTGCCACAAGGCTCTGGTGAATTTGTTGTTGGTGACTTGCTCATCCCTCTGAGCCATTGTATGGATTTTCTACACCTAGGTCAGATATGGGGTGCGGTACCTAGTGGTGCGGTACTTAAGCGCTCAGCTGCTAACAGAGATATTGGCACTTGAAGCCCACCAGCTGTTGTGTTAGAGAAGGAGGTAGCATTCTGCTTCCATGAAGATTTTCCATCCTTGTTTTTCTGAAGGAGATCACCAGGTCTTTCATCCTAGTCTATCTTCATGTAGAAGATCCACTGAAGCCTGTCCATCACGGTGACTGTGAGTTAAAACACTGGTGGTATAGGTTCCCGCATCATATGAACAGATAAGCCCCCCTAGAATGACAGCCTGACAGGGGCAGAAATGTGGTGGCCATAGATACCACCATCTCTGTTTTTCAGATGCAGAAACAAAGGCTAAGAGAAGCATATTAATGGATTTGAGATTAAGGGTTTGTTGTGAATGGAACATTGAGGATGAAACTCTAGGCTTCTTGACTTCCCATTCCAGGCATCTTTCTAGTGAATTGCCTGCTATTTCTGCATATGTACACTTGTGTGTGCTTGACTTAATGTCTACAAATAAGATATGCCTATCACCAAGTTAATTAGCAAGTGTCATATGTATACATTAATGAAAAAAGAAAAATGACTAGCATCCTTGGAGACCCTGTGGGAGCAGTTCTACTTTGGTCCTATGAGGTCGACATGAGCCAGAATGAACTTGACAGCATTGAGTTTGGTTGGTTGTCTCTGCTTGCTTGTTCCAATCGGATGTAAAACCAGAGATTGACCTTTACTGTGCTCTTTGAGGCACATAGTACCTTTTACTCAATAGGATCCAATAGACAGTGGCTAGATTCTCCTGGATTTCCTACCCTCGGTTTCTCCAGTAGTTTTTTTCATGGATATCCATTCTGCCCACTGCTTTGAGTCTCTGTAGCTATACAAACACCTCCCCCCCGCTAAACAAAAATGAGTACTATTGTAGGTGGTGGTTTTTTAACGTAATGTTTACAGAACAGCATCTTTTCAGGAATGAAAGAATTATGCTTTTGAATTCACAACTTGCTTTCTAATATGAAGATTGTTACTTGCAGCTTGAGTGTTTGAAAGATGTGTAGATTTGACTCCAGCAAACAATGTTCATTTACTTTGGAGGTTTAGCTGGTTGCTAATAACATAATAGCTATCATTGATGTGATTGCTTTATTGACTCTACTTTGATTCTCACCTGTCTTAGAGTATTTGGGTAAGTTAGTAATGGCAACAGGTAAGATTTTGAGCATAAAACTTCTCATGCATATTCTAATCAAGTGCTACCTACATAGAATACAAATTACTACATTTAACGGAAAGTCTTTATGCTCTTTTATGCTGTTTATTTAAATAAGGCCTTATACAGATCAAGAATTTTTCCATAATATTAGAGTATTTGATACTATTGTACAATTGCATTACTTTTCAATATAATTACATAGGAGATACCTGCTTCATCTATGAGACCTCATGGTCCCTACAATCAAATATTGATTGTGATCAATATTTAAATCATCTCTTTTAAAATTGAGTCTTCTATTGATGACTAGTCTACCCTTCTACTGATGACAAAAATCATGCTTTTGAAAATTGCCATGTTTGTGCGATGTATTTTTCAAACTCTGCTCAAATAATGGGTCATCAATTTATAAGGTCTGTGTCTTCTTGGGTAGGAAGATGACAGTGACAGATTTTAGGAAAATTACCATTAAATTTAAAAAAAATGAAAGAACAAGAACTGGCAAATTGGTTGTGTATGTGTGTGAGAATCATCTTAAAAGCCTTCATTTTAAATATCAACAACTTTATGTAATTGTTTAATATATACTTATGAAGATTTTTAGGGCTAAAAATGACATCTGTTCAGAGTTGACTCTTATTACCTTCTTCCTGGGGTGAAGACGAACACCTCCGCCCAACTCCTCTTGACCAAGGCAGTGAACAGCCTCTTTTCCAACCCTTGGATCATCAAGCCACAAGTTTACCTTCAAGGGGTGAGCGTGCATTGTCACAGGTGGTCTGCTCCTTCCACCTGCACGGCTTCCTGCAGTTGTATCCCTTCTTGCAACTCTGTGAAGACTAGCCCCAGGATCCCCCAGTCTGTAGCATCCTGAGCATGTGAAGCAAGCAGCAGGAATTGCCACCTGGTGCTGACTCGCTGTGCTCTATAAAGCCTGGAGCCTCCACTGTCCTTTCAATGCATAAAGCATCCTCCTCCTTCTTCTTCTTGTCTGGGTTTCTTGTGTATTCTTAAAACTCAGACATGCAAGGTAACTTTTGTTTTCATCAGTAACAGAAATCAGAATTCCAAAATAATGGAAATTTGGGGTTTTGGGTCTTTGGCCAGGCAGAATTTATAAATATTTAAGTCTTCTTCCCTACCATATCTAGATTGAGTGTGTGTAGAATTAAAATTATCTGCAAACTAAACTGACATCCACTTCTTTCATTTTGTTGTATATACTTCAATACTAAAAAAACCGAATTCCTGACCCCAGTACAACCCTTAATTAGTTTGATGATTATGAGTAAGCCCTTAAATGTATCTGGATCTTAAGTACTTAATTTATACCAATATGGAGAGCAGTGCTGTACCAGTAATGCTGCCTTACTTGAAAACAGTTGTTATGAGATAGAAAACCCAAAGTAAGCTATGCATTATGCTAGAAGCTTTTATAGAAAATGGGGCAGTAGCATTATTTTATAATTCTTCTAAAGGATTGTCTCTCTCACCTACTTATAATTTTAGGAACTTTTAATAAGTTTTAATAATGACTTCCTTTTGGCTGATAGGAAACTTGATGCATTAGAGCAATGAGATTCGTTTCAGAATCATTGATAATTTTTATAATGGAAATAATGGCAGTTGATTTATTGCCATCTATTTGTTTATGGCTTCAACTTTAGACAGATGACATTCAATAGCTCAGATTTTCAAATCATTGCCAGGTTCAGCCCCAAATTTGGAGAGTCCAAATGGATTCAAATGAATGAAAGATAATTTTCTTTACAAACTCATTGAGTTATTTTATTCCCTTCATTTCTTCAAGATTTTGCAAGCTAATAATTTTCAGTGTTCTGCATGTTAATGACATTTCTGATTCCTGTTTTTGCCCTCCAGTAAAATAATAATGCTATGCAGCTTGCATTTCTGTTCTAGACAAGCTCTTTTTGCCACTTTTCCCTTTCCGGCCCACCCTCATCCTGCCAAGCGCCCGAATCCACCAACCTGCTTAAATCGTCCTCTGACGGGAATATATATTCTTTAAGCATTGGTTAAAGAATGTAATGTAAATAATTTAATGGTAAAGTTGTCTTCTGGAGTGCTAAGATAGGCACATGATGGTTTCATTAAATATGTTTTCATTACAGATTTTCCTCATAATGTATAAGCTTCTAGACAAAGCATAAAATAATCAAACTTAAAATACATACACAAAGCCTTCCGTTTTCTCTCCGAGGTTCTCTTAGCAACTCTTAGGATTGGTTTAAGACAGTATCACAGGAGAATTTTCATGTTCTTGCAATTATTTTTCTTATTAAAATGGGAGCCTTTTACTGTAATTTGGAAGTGCCACTTTTGAATTCCTGACTTATTTTGATCTGCAGTCCAACAAACTGAGATAAGGAAAACGGCAGTCATTGGAAGTAGCACATATCAATTTAACTTGATAAGGCATTAGGTCAGTAAGAAAAGAAAACATAATGATCATAGACTAGAAAATCTGAGGACTATTAAGAAAAAGAGTTTTTCCACTTGTACCGCACCCTGCTATAGCAAAAAGTCTGCGTGTGGGTAAATATTGATGATCAGGGAAGACTGTGGATCCTGTTTCAGACCTACTTCGTGATTTCTGCAGTGGTCTTTGTAAAGGTCAGGGTGAAGTTTGTGGGAGACAGATGGGAAAAAGACAGCAGCCCTAGGGAGGTCAGTCCTGGCCAGCTGTCAGGGAGTGTCAGCCAACCCGTCAACACTTGTTGAATACAATTCCCGCAAATGGTTTGCAACAATCAAAAGGAGAACATTTTGCCAGGAAAATGTCACTACGTTTACTCATCTGTACTTGCTTTTCCATGTTATTTCACAGTGAGTCCCATATTTCTAGGGAATGATGATAGCTCATCTTCCCCTCACCCCCCACCTCCAGTCCTTCCTCCCAAAGTACTTTTCACCACAAGAAGAAAAGGAAAACTTGGGGTTGAAACTAGCGTCTGCGTTCCCCCGCAGCAGCCCCAGTGTGGATCATGAAGCCCGTCAAAAGCAGTCCTAAAAGAAAAACAAGAAAGCACACCCACTGCCTTCACGCCCATTCTGCTTCCCGGTAGCCCGAGGACGGTTTCTGAGATCGTAAACCTCTTCAGCAGCCGTTCTCAACCTGTAGGTCGCACCCCTTTTGCGGGTTGAACAACCCCTTCACAGGGGTCTCCCGATTCATAACACTAGCAAAATTACAATTATGAAGTAGCAATGGAAATAATTGTATGGTTGGGGGTCACCCCAACATGAAGAACTGTATTAGAGGGTCGTGGCATTGGGAAGGTTGAGAACCACTGCTCTACAGGAACAGAGAGCCTCAAGTTTCTCCTGGGGGGCAGCTGATGAAGTGCCAACCTTGCCCTTTGCAGCCCAGTGCTTAACCCACTGCATTACAAGAGTGGGGCCCACAAACTGTCCATGGCGCTTTAAAAATTATCACTGGGATTCTTAATGGACGCCTATTTTATATCCATCACACTCTCTCCCATGAGACATCAAATGCAATCATACGCTATCATGTTGTTGGACTGCTCTTTTGCTTCAGTGCAAAAAAAGTATTTAAAAGACAAGTGTGTCTCTAACAATGAACTCAGATTTAAATACCGTGGTATGAATTTTATATGTAATTGTACAATTTAGAGATTTAGCAAAACCAGGTGGTATATTGGAAAGGATGATTAACTACTTACGGAAAATGAGAAAAGATTCCCTACCACTAATTGTTAATGCATACTGAAGTACAAGGTACTTCATACTGAAGTACAAGAAGGATATGGAAGGTGATAGAATTTTTCAGTTTTTGATGAAAGTTTTTACTTATTGAAGGGAGAAATCAACTTTTTGTTCATAGTACAATCTATAAAATACTTGCTGTGAGGGAAACTAATGAAATGTTTTTAAAAATGTGAGTTTGGTGTGACTGAGCAAGAGACAGTTAAGAATTGAAGAGAAGCCTCAAAAATAGCAAAGGTATCTTGTTTGTTCAACGTAACTGTCCTCGGCTATCCCAGAAGCCTTAGTAGAGTCATGGTTACTCACCGAGCTGCTACCTGAAAGGTAGGCAGTTTGAAACCACCAGCTGCTCTGCGCAGGAGACGTAAAGAGTTACAGTCTTGGAAACTCACAGGGCAGGTCCACACTATGCTGTAGGGTCCCTATGGTGGAGGCTATACCCAGCTAAGAATCTGCTTAGAGTCAAGGTAAAGATTTAAATTAAAAAAAAAATCAAGCTAGAAAGCCAGTAGGATATTTGTAAAAAATTAGATGCAATATTTTTGTGTGTGTGAGAATTTTATCTATTAGTTTGGTTGAATAAAATATATAGAGTCTGCTAAATGAGCAGATCAGATTTAAATTTGTTTAGATTTGAGAACCTTGTAAGTACATATTTTATCATTTGTGTTTCTGATTCATTGATCCAGATAAATGGACACTTAAATTATGGTAACCAGGTGGTTCCAGACAAAATAAGCATGTGGTTACATTTCTTTTTTAATGAAGGTTATATTTGGGGCATTACTATTTCAATGTTCACTTGTCATTATGAGTTTTATGTTCACTCAAGGCAGTGTTCCACATGGGTTGAACATTTTTCATAGTGGGAAGGTCAGTAATTCATTTAACGCTGACATTTAAACCAGTAAACCTAAAATGCATTGCCATAGACTATTATGTATTGTGCATTAATATTTCCATATGTCTACCTTAACTGCTGAATGAGTGAAGACATGTTGGAGGGTTTTTATTTTATCTATCATTTGAATGCTATACTTAAGTAGGAAACTAAAGTGTCCTTCTTTAACCTGAGATCAGTTTAGTCTACCTACTGAACAAGAAGAAAACATAATAATAGTGAGTCTAATTCTTGTAGCTAATATTCCCTTGAAACATGTTTCCTTTGAGAAAATCGATGTGTTCTAATGCTTTAAAATCTGTATACTTTCTAGAAAGTAAAATAGATTCATGAACGAGCTTTAAACAGAGAAAGGAAGAAATTGAAGGAGTACAGTCATGTTTTCATGAGACATCCAGGAATGACCAAGATATTCCGAGGACATTGTCACATAGACGATTGAAGGGGTGCTGGGGACGCAGCGGTTCAGCACTCAGCTGTTAACCAAGAGGTTGCACTCTGAGAAGAAAATCCTGGTCTGCTCTTGGAAAGATTACCTGTTGCCACTGAGCTGATTCTGATTCATGGCGGCCCTGTAGGACTGAGTTGGACCCTCTCAAAAGGTTTCCAAGACTGTTACAACAGCAGACTGCCACATCTTTCTCTCTAGCAGGGATGGTGGGACCGGTCTTTAGGGTAGCAGCTGATACAAAACCTTGTATGCAGTTAGTTCTGCTCGGTCACGGGCTAGCACCAAGAGTCAACAGCAGCATCAGTCATGAGGAGGTTAGTTTGTTGCTCTTTCTAGTGAAACGTGGTAGGCACTAACGTTAGTGGGGAGGCTGCTGAAGACCTTTTCCTTGCTATAAGGCATTAGAGGTCACAAAGGTTAGAAAACTCTTGGTCACCCCTAGTATAACCGATATGTAAATGAAGATGGCATGAAAGTAAGAATCTCTTTCTTACATAATTAACCCATCACGATAGCTCAGTCCGCTTTTCTCTCTTATTCTTCGCTCTGAAGAAGTATGTTGAATGTTTGACAGCGGTGCTGCGGTTTTGTGACTTTTCCACTTCCACCCCCATTCTTTACAGATCTAAACGAGTGTGGCCTGAAGCCACGGCCCTGTAAGCACAGGTGCATGAACACTTACGGCAGCTACAAGTGCTACTGTCTCAACGGCTATATGCTCATGCCGGATGGGTCCTGCTCAAGTACGTCAAGAATCTTCACTGTTTTACAAGTGCTTTGGGCCTGCTTTCATTCTGGCAATTACCTTTTTGAAAGTGACCTCCCAGCCTTCCTACACAGCATCCTGTACGTGGGTTCATAGGCGAGCTGGAGAATTGTACATCAAACAGAGATGCCCATTTCAGTTGTACAACATTAATTTACCATGGGCGCCAGCGGTAAATGGATTTGGACATGGTATTTAGAACAGGACTCGCCAGACTGTGTCTTTCCTAACTAGCTCTCTGTCTTTTAGCAGGCATAGAAACATTGTTCCAGCTAGAAGAACAACACCAGTGACCACGTATAGCATAGGTTCCCAAACTGATTCGGCCTTCTGCTCCCTGTTCAGAAAGTAAATTACTCTGTGCCCCTGGAAATGAAGAACTTTTGTCCTCTACCTCATAATCCAGGATAAGGAGTAGGAGGTGTCCGCTTTTGCAGCACCCTCCTGGGTGGCTCCAGCATCCCCCAGGGCATGGTATCACTCACTTTGGGAAACATTGATTTAGTGCCCATGGTCGTACTCATAAGGATGTGCACTATTGCCTGTAGGAAATTCTTCAGATTTGTTGAATGATGATAAACCATTCATAAATACCTCGTCCATTTTTACATTTCTATAGAAGAATGGAAACATTTAAGTTACTTTCCTGGAAATAAAAATAAAACTAAGGTAAACAAATAAATGACTGTATGCCATGAAAATAGTAGAATGCATGTGCACCTGGTTTCCAACTATTATTTCAGGGTGATGATAAGATGCACAAAGCCTTAAAATTCTCTGCAGGCTGAACATTACATGGGAGTTATGCTTATACAATATCTCACAATTAGTGACTTGACTTTTCTTGTTACTAAGTTATCAGTTATCAATTGCATTTTTTAAAAACTCATGTTCTCCTTCCCACATCCATTCAGCCTGTATGTTTATCCATGTGTCTGCTCATAGATCTCCATTATTGCCAGATTTGATGAATAAAAGTAATTACTGCTGCTGCCTTTAACTCTTACTGTCCTCCCAGTGTGAAAGTTTTATGTTTCTTTTTCAATTTGTCTGATATCACCCTCTTTTTTTTTTGGCCAACTTCTCTCCTATTAGATTTTACTTCTAACACCAAAAGGTTGGCTAATATTATCTAGCACAAAGCATGAAACTTTCTGGAAGGATGTGAGTACATATTTAATATGCGTGTTGGTGATGTTGGTATCTTCCAACATTGTGCAGCTCCATGAGAAATCTCCACTTGGCCTCTGAGGGAATTCAGTGGAGAGTTGCGACATGACTTGGATGTTTTATTCAAAACAGCACTTAGCTTGTATAAACTAACAAAATAACTCTATTCTCCACTTTCCTTGACCATTGAAAATATTTCCAGATAATCCATGCAGGATACAGCTTTACATTTCTTTTTTAATTCTTCAAAAGGACTCAAGGTCTCCCCCAGAGAATAACAGAGCTGGTTACTTCCCTCTCCTTTCTCTGCACTCTCTCTAGAAAGTTGCATACTTTAGCCCTCAGTGTCTTCCGGTTGGTTTGGGTCACTGCTTTCAGGAAAAGAGGGGAACATAGTGATTTCAGGAAAAGAGGGGAACATAGTGATTTCATTCGCAGAGTCTGTTCTCTGTGCCCCTCAGTCAGCCACACACTCTGCTTCCAGGTGCCCTGACGTGCTCCCTGGCAAACTGCCAATACGGCTGTGATGTGGTCAAAGGACAGGTCCGGTGCCAGTGCCCCTCTCCTGGCCTGCAGTTGGCTCCTGATGGGAGGACCTGTGTGGGTGAGTTGTGAAACCAACATCCATGAAAACCGTGAATGGTGATGGGAGTAGCAGTTATTTGCAATAGGCAGTTCACTATCTTCTAGATCATGATCCTTCAGAAGGAAACCTTCAAGGATGTGGTAAGGAATGTGTATTTAATCCCAAAAATCAAGTAGAAACTTTTCAGTGTAGTCAGGACTCCCCAATCTTCAACAGGATCGTTTTGGTAGTTGGTTAGGAAATGTTTCAGTGCGGCAGGATAGACATCGGCGAGGTCAGCTTGGAGACCCCTCTCAGCCTGGAGTAGTCAGGATCAGGGTCATGGTTGTAGGTGAAGGGAAGAGTAGATGGCTTCAAATGACTTTTCTGAGATAGAATTAAGGATGATTCCTGTGTGTGATAGAATTAAGGATGATTCCTGTGTGTAGTTCACAGAATTAAGTGATCACAGGGGCAGTGTAAGCTGGGGTAGTATAAGAGAAAACTGGCTTCAAGGGTGGAGTTGAAGTTTGAACATATAGAACTGAAGTTCTGGGTGCGTGTGGTGGGGTGGGGTGGGGGTGGCGAGCAACTGGATGCCATTTGTGATGAGTTTACTATGCTCCAGAGAAGTTGGGTTACTTGTTTGCAAATAGTTCCGTTACTTGTGTGAACTATATATATAGTCCGTTGGAACGTGCCCTTGTGCTTCCTAAAATGTAATCGACTTATATTTATAGATATTGATGAATGTGCAACTGGAAGAGCCTCCTGTCCTAGATTCAGGCAGTGCGTCAACACTTTCGGGAGCTACATCTGCAAGTGTCATCAAGGCTTTGACCTCATGTACATTGGAGGCCGATACCAATGTCACGGTAATAAAGCCCACCCTTTGCGTTCCTTCTCCGCATAGTGCTTCCTATGCAGCCTTCCCTGGGGTGATGGCCGAGATATTTGCGGCCGGGATGGGTATTCATGTTAAACAAACAAAGAGATCCAGTTCCGTCATTGATGGTTCTGGGTTGGATTTTACATTGCCAACAAAGGAGGAAGAGAAATTTTTACACTGGAAACAGTTTTCAGGTCATTGTAGCCACCTCACAGTTAAACCCCTTGTTTTCCTTCTTTCTGGCGCAGACATCGACGAATGCGCTCTGGGTCAATATCAGTGCAGCAGCTTTGCTCGATGTTACAACGTCCACGGGTCCTACAGATGTAAATGTCACCAGGGATACGAGGGCGATGGACTGAGTTGTGTGTGTGAGTAGTACTTCTTCCCCACCTCTAAATGTGAGCAGGAAATACAGGCTGACCCGATGGCCGTTGCGAGGGAAAAAAGAGGACCTAATGCCGGGGGCTTAAGTGGAGAAGAAATGTTTTGAGACTGATGAGGGCAATGAATGTACAAATGCGCTTTACACAATTGATGTATGTATGGATTGTGATAAGAGTTGTATGAGCCCCTAATAAAACGATTAGAAAAAAAAAAGAAATGTAATAAAAAAATAAAATTAAAGTGAAGCAAACCAAAAAAAAAAAGAAAAAAGAAACAGGGTGATTTAAGAAGGAAGCGTAGTTTCTGCGCTTTCCACGATGAAATGATTTTCTCAGTCAATTTTTACAAGTCAAGCTTTTAGTGATATGTTCTAATCTTACAGCATCAAATCACTCTGATGAAGACCTCTCTATAGCTCTCCTTCAGTAAGAAAAACAAGGGAGCCCGCCCTGAGAATCTGAGTTTGTTGAAATTAGAAAGATTCATTTCTCATTGGCACTGGGGTCGGGAGATGGGTTACTCTGAATATGTTCTGCAGCTTTAATTCCTCTGGTTTTCCCTCCCAACTCCACTATGAAGAAAATCATCCACATATTTACTTTCTCTGTTTTCCCAACTGCTTTTCAGATTTCCATGAGCTATATTTGGCGCCATGGTTATGTTAGTAGATAAACATGAGAAATGTATAAACCTCAAAAGCATGCATTTCATGTGGCAATAGACAATTTTTAAAATCGCCCGAGTAAAATATTTACTGAAAATCGTAGAGCATAAAGTCCTGGGGATTAAAAGATTTCGAAGGGCCATGCAGTCACTCTTGGTCGGGATTGTATCATTCCAGGCAGATTAAATAGTGATTCTTTTTGCTAAAGATTATCAAGGAAAGATTCCACAAATGACTGTGGTGACCTCGGAAATTTTAATTTTTTTTGAAGCAGTGGTGTAAATTAGTCAGGCTCTGAAGACCAAATCCAGAACAAAATGTAGAACTTTACTCAAAATATTTTTACAGGATTTGAATTCTTACAAAGTGTAAATGAGAAAAAAATTAGTGTTATGATAATTCTAAACACGATCTTCTACTATAGGTAGCATATGGATACTTAACATAGACTATGTATTTTTCATTTTAAAAAACAAATTGAGAAAGAAAATGGACTAACTTTGCCCCACTGTGCATTTTTAAAATATCATTGAATTTTGATTAGTTCTTAAACCTATTTTCAGGCCATCATATTCATCCCCCAAATAAACCGCCTTTTTTCCTGCTTTCTGATATAGATTTCTACTTTATAAATATTAAAATAGTTTTAATTTTCAAATAATACATATTCATTATAGAAACACCAATGTATCTTTTGTATACATCTAATGAATGGATATGTGGATATATGTTTGTATGTATATGGGTGTATATCTAAATATGTACATGTGTATATACATAGTACATAAGCACATATATATGGATTTATTTTATATATATATATGTGGAACTGACTTTTGTTTTACTTGTCAAATGTCTTGGCTTACATTAGGGGGATATTCCAAGCATGCAAAGCAACCAAGTTGGCAAGAGATTTTTTTGGGGGGGTATTTATTTTTAGGCTGCTGCTTTAATTTCCTTTAGTAAGTTAACATATTATTTCAAATCTTTTGACTCTTTCAGATATTCCAAAAGTCATGATTGATCCTTCAGGTCCAATTCATGTTCCAAAGGAAAATCATACTAATGTAAAGGGTGATGGAGGACACCATAATTGGATTCCTGATGTCGGAAGTACTAGATGGCCATTGGAAACACCATATGTTCCTCCTGTCATTACCAACAGGCCCACTTCTAAGCCAACAACAAGACCTGCACCAAAGCCAACACCACAGCCTACTCTACCCTTACCACCATCAACAGAGTTCAGAACGCCTCCACCAACAACAACCTCAAGGCCAACTGCCCGACTGACAACCATAGCAGCAGCGACCAGTACATATCCAAGAGTGATTACAGTTGACAACAGGATACAGACAGATCCTCAGAAACCCAGAGGAGATGTGTTCAGTAAGTCATTTAACTATTTGGACACACTTTAAATCGATCCTTTATTGATGATATTTCAACCACAGGCCATGTCTTGAGTAAGAAACTCATGAAAGGAATCACCAGGGCAGAGTATGAAGTTGTATATTCCTATGGGTAATTATTATAAAGAGTTTTACAAAGACTAAGTCAATTAGCAAAAATGAAAGACTGTGTGTGGAAATGGGGGAAAATATTATGAAGCTATATGTAGATCGTAGCTCCTATCCAGTATGGAAATTCTGATTCATATTCAGATTTACTTGGAAATTTGTTCAATCAGAAAACATTTTTACTGGCACAGATGATTAAGGACTGACTACTATCCAAATGGTCTGGGGTTCAAAGCCAAAGATGTACCTTGGAAAATAAAGCTGTCTGTCTGCTTCCCAAAGGTCACAGCTTTGAAAACCCAATAGAGCTGCTTCCCCTTGCACACATATGGTTTTCTATAAGTAGGCGTTCTCAAAGTAAAGGAGGAAAGACATTCACCCAGAAGCGAACCAGGGTCTGTGGTAGGTTCTGTGTAAGGTATATGTGCACGACATTGTGGGAGCAGAGAGAAGAGGACCCTAATCAACTTTGGGCAGGGAGTAGACAAGGAAGACTTCCTGCATGAAACGGTGTTTGTTCGTCATTTAGAGATTGTGGACACAGGCCCTGTCATTAAAAGGCACTGAATCAGAAGCGGCAGAGTCCCTGCAATAAATTGCCCATAAATTGGTGGTTTGAGGCAAGAGGAGGTGAGAGAAACTGGATAGCTTTTCCCTGTATTTGTTGTAAACTGAGAGTTAGATCTAAGCTGGAGCTACATTTAGATTTAAGGACTTTCAGATTTTAATGGCAACCTGGTAGAGGGTGGTTCCACCAATGGAGATAAAAGAAGAAACTCGAACTTAGAAAACAGGAATCTAATATGTCTCTAATTTCTTTGGCCCTACGAGCCCTGGTGGTATAGGGGGTTATGCCTTGGGCTGCTAATTTTCAAGGTTAGCAGTTCAAAACCATCAGCCACTCCATGGGAGAAAGATAAGACTTCTTAGTTTTTATAAAAACTTAGTCTCAGAAGCCCACAGGGGCAGATCTGTTTTGTCTTTGGAGCCCACACGAATCAGAACGCACTCTACGGCAGTGGAAAGGAAGGAAGAGCAAGAGACAGTGTCCAGTGGGGTTAAGAAGGCTCCAAGTAGAGCGATTTGGTAAAAGATCAGGAAAAATTTCAGATATGCTGAAATTCAGACATCTATTTTCATCCAACCAACTAGAAAAAAACAGACAAGTGATATCTGTTTAGTAAAAAAAGGAAATAAGAGATTTCACTATCTTCTGATCCCATTTTGAGAAGAGGTTAGATATTTATTCTTGCTATATGCATTTTTTCTTTTACTATATCCCTATAATCTTTCCTTATGGGGACAACATACCTATATCAATTCTAAAGAAAATATAATTTACAATTTTTTTCCATTTAAAACCAAAGCTATTTGAAGGCAAGAAGAACACAATTGAAGAATGGGAGGGGCAAGAGGAGACTACCAAACAGTGGCCATAATTAGCACTATCGGTTTCCATACTCAACGTCCAGTCTATAAGGAAATCCTATAAGCCCAACCTTCAAATTATAACCAAAAGACATTTCTTACCATCTCCGGCATTATCACCAGTAATTCGTCCTACAGTTGCAATGTTCTTTCTTAAATTTAACCTGAATTCGTATGACACATCTTTTATGTTGTCATCTTTAATACTGTCAGGTCCTAAGGAGGGTCATGGTTAGAGCTGACCATTATCTCCAGACCCTGTATTTTGTGTCGCTAAGGAGTCTTGGTGGTGGGGTGGTTACTCATTGGGCTGGTAACTGCCATGAAAGCAGTTCAAAATCACCAGCCAGGAGTTGGAAGAAAGATGAGGATTTCTACTTAAGTAAAAAGCTTTAGTCTCAGAAAACCTGCCCTATGGGGTTGTTATGAGTTGAAATTGACTCTATGACACTGTTTTTTGTTTGTTTAAAAATATAAGGTATATCATGAAGGGGAAATTTTAAATAGTATATGATTAACAAAATATTTCTTGTAGGATTTGAAAATACCTTTGTTTCTAAATTTCTCTGCCTTTGGAGGTTTCAGGGGTACTATGGGGTCCACAACGTTTTTGCCGAGCCTCCAGACTTAGCTGAAGTAGGAGGAAAGGCTTCGGAGTCTACTTAAAAAACAAAACAAAAACCACCCAATGAAAACCCTGCGGAGTACAACAGTTTGATCCTGCGGTGCCAGACCAGGCTGCATTTAGCACCATTGTGCCCTGGGTTACCATGAATCAGAGATTAACTTGACAGTAGATTGCAACAACTTTATGTACGCTAGATTTCTTAGGTCTTCATGAACACAAGTATTAACAGATACATTTTCAAGGCTAGCCGTATTGCATTATTTGAGCAACAGTGATGTATCTTAATATAGTATGGAATTCCTGCTCTTTCACTAGTGTGGCTGACCAGTGCTACCTAAGTGTGTTTTACAGAACATTAGTTTTCTGGGATATTATACAATTGCATGTTTAAAGAGTTCTGAAGTCAAATAGCTTTGAAAAATCCCAGGAGTAGCCAACTTAAACAGGTCTGTTAACTGCAAAACTTCTCAATAATGTGATAATGGCCATTGCAAATCTCTAGGAGAGGCATATAATCTGCATCATTTCCCAAGTGGAAGTAATCATGGGATTAGAGTTCAGTGGAATATGAATTTAGTGTAACAAACTTCAAGCCAGGATGGCTGAACTAACAAGTGTGGAGACTTGCTGTCCATAGAGCCCAACAGTCTTCTCTGGCTAGCTCATTTGCGTGGCTTCTGAGACTAATAGGTTGGTCTTGGACTCTAGGAATATTCTGGTGAGAGGGTAGGGGCAAAGGAGAGGCAGAAAGGGGCTTGGAGAGCTTCTATCTAGAGGAGAAAAATAGATGTGAGTGGTGGAATGTCTTTAGAGATGCCAGAGGGGTGCTACAAGGGGCTGCTCAAAAGTTGGGATCAGAGCACCAAAACCAGATGTCTTTATTAGACCTGATGTCCGAGTGAGTAGGAGCTGCCCCTGAGCAGAGAAAATAAGAAAAATTTTATTCAGGCAATGGAAATGAAGGGAAAATGCTTTCTACAATGTATCTACTAACAGGGTTCTTGGGTAAACACTCATGTTATACAGTGGTAAGGAACAGGAGATACATAACCATCTATGCCACATGAACCAATGAGGTATAAAGCACACATTTACATGTCTTCATGTACATACCATTCTACGCCTTGGGAGAAAGAGGAGGCTTTCTACTCCCATAAAGAGTCTCAGAAACCCATGGGCCAGTTCCACACTGTCTAATAAGTTTGCTATAAGTCAGTGATTTTTTTGTTTTAATATATGTCTACATGAAAAAAAGACAGTAAAAGTAACTATAAATATATCATTTATGATATTTTGGGAATTTTCTTTGTCTTTTTAAAAAATATTCTCATTTGGTAACACTAATCTGTTATAGCAATATTTCCTTAGGAGAAGAGGGCAGTGGTGATTTTTTAAAAATGTAGTCCAAGAGATTCCAATTGTTAATCATGTTGATTTTATTTCAATCCCACAGTTGTAAAATATGAATCAATGCATTCGTTTCTGTTTTTAATCCCGCAAAACTTTCTTTATAACTGAATATGTCAAGTATGTTCAAGTTTAGCTGGGAAAGTCAGTGTACTTCAAGGATATCACTTGGACCAGAAAGTAGATTTTATTTTTCAAAAGTGGTCAGAGCTCATTTGAACCAGAATAAACTGTGGTGCTTTTTGAAGAGGTATATTCCTAATGCATGCAATAAATTTACTAAATAGGACTTTTTAGGGATATATTTCTGAGTTTTAACGAAGCAGTGGGCTATTAACCACAAGGGGGGCAATCAACCCCCCCCTCCCACCCCCCCAGCTGCTCCTTGGAAGAGAGAGATGGCAGTGTATTTGTGAAAGTGGGACAGTGTCTCTGGGAACTGGAAGCAGCCAAGAGCAGTGGGTCATGTGCATCCAGATCATGAGACTCCTGGTAAAATACAGTCGATCTGAGGTGCAGCAGAAGATCCTGCTTTTCCAAGGAGGGGCCAGGTGACGTGGCTTCTCTGAAGACTACATGTTGAGCGGCCGAGCTCTTTGAGCCATAATGCTGCAGCACAGCAGAGCTGTGTCTTGGATGCAGAGTTTTGAGCTGATTAGAACCATGGTCAATGAAACAAAAGCATACACAATTTGAAGCACACATGATGACTACAATAGGAAAAATTATAGGTCGGCGCCCTGGAACAGGAGACTCAGAAAAGAGGGAGTATGCCCAGAAAAGAGGGAGTATGCCCCTTCAGAGACTGAGGTGAGAGAATGGTATATTGCCAGGACTGCAGGCACTGACATACACATACCAAGCAGCATGGTCTGCGGCCATCTTTAACAGGGGTGCCTCTCTCTCTGACTGTGCTAATCAAGAGGTTTATAAGCGAGAGACAAAGTTTCTAGCAAGGTGTCAACCTGTAAGTTTCCCCATTCCGGTTTTCTTCCTGGTTCACACAGTTCTACAAATTTGAGTCTGTTCTGGTTTGACTTCATTAGCCATGACAGAGCCGGGAAGAACCAGGTGGTAGCCCTGTCTTGGTTGTAGGCCTGGCTAGGATGGAAAGAGTTAGCCAGATGTTGATCGTTTGAAATGCATCCATTGTGTGCCTCAGCAAGAGTCCCCCTGAGTCCAGTAAAACAAAGAGGGAAAGGTATTGTAGAATCCCGATTATGAAATATATTGTGTCCCCATATCAGAGAGGCAGATGATTGTGGCTGTTAATATAAGAACATGAGGACGTGTTGAAATTTTAATTCCCAAGCAGTAAGAATAAAATCATGTCCCTTTTTTTTTATTGCTGCATGCTGACCCAAGGTCCTCGCCGTCATTTCCCATCTACAGATTTTATAGCCTGT